AATCAAATATAAGTTAAGTTAAACCAAAAATACCATGACCATATCAAGCTATGCCTAACGCCTTATCATTTTACTGTGAACAATGTTAGCAGAAATACTTTAAATCAATGCAACCATGGCTTTTATCTGCATGTTTTAAAGTGCTGCCCATTACATTCCTCAATGCTAAATAGCACTGACTACTACTAGCATACTTTGGAGCAGAAACAGTGTGGGATGTAAAAACTCAATGTTGTGTGACTTCTTCTGAAAAAGCAGAGAGTGAATATGTTTTATTGACTTTATTTTTTCCCATGCTGATGGTTTCATGCTGCTCGTCTTGTTCCAGAACCATCAGAGTTCACCACCGTGATGAATGGAGATCAGATCCAGTTAGTCATGTTTGAGAGTGTGTGAAGTTTACGTGATCATTTAACCCAGCTGATGTCAACTAGAGATGACAGCGTCTCTGGCAGAGCCACCGAGTAACGATTTGGAATGCCGTCTGTTGTTATGTTTTTATAGGATTGTGTGTCGCTGTTGAACATAAAATGTAATTTATACATTTGGCCGCAAATATTTTCTGCTCCCAACCGTTTTTGAACAGAAGTTACTGCACGTTTTCCCCTCAACCCTACAGTCCCTTGTACACGTTCTGATTTGAGTTTAACTACTTTACATGTGTCTGGAATTCACATAAAACAAATTTAACAACTGCAATAATTATCTCGTGAATAGCTTTGCTCCAAAATGTTCACGAACCTAAATGGTGAATGCCACGGTTGGACTAATGAAGCAGCTACAGACTCTTACCTTGGAGGAATCCCTATCTGTTGGTTGTGGCTGTGAGAGTAGAGGGACCTTAATCCCTGTTCCTGTAGGGTTACCCATGTAGTCCTGTACTCTCCAGGCATTTAGAGTCCAGTGAGAAGACATGGATCACTGTTGAAGGATAGTGATACTTTCTGTTTCCCAGGAATAGAATAGAATAGAATAGAATAGAATAGCCTTTATTGTTGTACAAGGTACAGCGAAATTGGAGTGCAAAATGTAAAAGAATACAAAATAATAATGCAGAAATAAAATAAATGTAAAATCAACAGTAATGTTTACAAACACAGAGCAGCAGCATGTATGAGGTAGCAGAATTAGTTGGGTTATGTGCAGGTCACTATTGTGAGCAGAATTTTAGCATATTGAGTAAACACAAATAGCACATAGAAATGTTATTACACATGATCAATGTGGAACAGTAAATGTGTGGTTTGGGTTTTACAGAATAATTTGGCTTTGTGGTTGTTTACTACACTGATAGCTCTGGGACTGAAGCTATCCCTGAATCTATTCATCCTGGTTTTATGTGACCTGTACCGTCGGCCTGATGGTAGCAGGTCAGATGGTTACTGGGGTGAGAGTGGTCCTTGCTGATATTGCCTGTTCTACTGAGGTAACGGGAGTTGGCAACGTCCTCCAGGCTGGGCAGGAAGCTTCAATTTGATATATTGAATCATCACATTTATGTTTCTCAGCCACCGTGTCGCTAGGAGTTAGTTACTCACATCTATATATTTATTAGGGATGTACACTTTAAACACTGAAAGTACCGCGGCATTGAATGTCATGATACTGAATCACTTTTTAAAAGCAGTGTATCAAATGTTTTACGAGAATTTACCTGTGGTTGTTTACTGTTTTTCTTTTGTGAGTTGTAATTCAAACCGCAACTGCTAGGTGGCAGCAGTCTTTGCTGTCTTCATTCTGACGGAACCACGAGAACTCATTGTAACTCCGGGTGTGTCTAAAATTTCAAATGTCGTCTGGCTGTTGCAGCGATTACCTTACATAGGAATTCCAGCGCAACGGCTACAAAATATCTGTACCTCCAGATTCAAATACATCAACCATGTGCTGCCCACAGGTGTGCATAAAGAAAATCTGCAGCTCACTTAAACCTTCAAACAGCACAACAGATATTTTTTTATTGATATTATAAAGAAAACATAAGTTTTATCCATCCCATGATAGAAATGTACATCATGCTGAATAAGCAAACAGAAATTGAGAAAAGTGTCGACCACACCTGAGCCTTTACAGGAAACTGTCACATGACCGTCCTTTTCTGAAGACATCTGATTTGAGTCTGATTTAGGAGATATTCTAGTCCGGCTCCAAACAGACTGACCAACTGACACTGACATACCTCCGCCCTGCTTAACAAAGCCAAGAAAACAAACCCTGTTTCATATTTTGACACGTTTCCATTTCTCTGTTTCAGGATAATAAAACTCATTCTCTTCTGCTCTCTTTAAAAAAAAAGCACGACCAGAACATAGTGGAACATCCAAAAAAACACAAGATTCATTTTGTTATGTCTGACCAAACATCTGAGAGAATATTAAGTTCACTTTGATTTATTTTACTGCCAGACAAAGAAAGCTGTTGAAAAGGTTTTAACAGATTGTTCAGAGTTACTGACCCGCATCATGAAATTCCCAGCCGCTCTTTTCTTTTTTCTTCCGCTAAAACCATTGTTCCATGACCGCTCTTGGGAATCTGTGGAAAGTCAGCAGCCAAGATGTGTTTTTTAGATTTTTTGTTTGACCAAGTCTGATTTTATTTATGACCAAAAGGCTTGGTCCAGTTTGATCTGAATAGATTATTTTAGATAGATGTGAGATGAGGAGGAGTCGTGCGTCCGATCTCCTTCGCTAAAACTCCGTAAGCGTGTGTGTTGGGGGGGGGGGGGGGGGGGGGGGGGGGGGGGTTAAAACCCTAGGTCTGTATGTCTTGCTGGTATATTCTGGCTGTATTGGGATGTTTCCATAATGCCTAAAATGAAAAAGAATGAGGAGGACATTACGGACCGTGATGATATTTCTAAATAATCTAAGGTATTTAGGTCTAGACCAACAACTCTCATATGTTAAATGTTTTCTTAGCAGCTGTTGAAACTTTTCCGCTGAAATCCGAGGGATGTTGGTACAGAACAGTCCTTTCAGTGTTTGGTGTCCTTTCTACAGGGCTGCCAAGTGCTTTCTGCTTCTTATAAACCTTAAATAAAACAAACCAAAGAAGAAGCAGGTTTGGTCTGAACCGTAGTAAAATAAGAATCAAACGCTACCTGTGGTTACGTTGAAAAACAAGTCTGGAATCGTCACCGGCAGAGTCTGACGCGATCTTGGAAATGGCTCAGCGAGAGCAGAGCTGGAGGCTGAAGCTGGGCCAAAGAGAGGGCTCCAACTGAGAACGTATCATCATGCAAGTGGTCTGAAATACAATCCTGCGTTTTGAGTCCTCTTAACAGATCTGGACTATAAGAAACCAGTTTATTGATTTTATATTACAAGGGGCAGTCTACAGGTGCTGACATATGTATATTGGGTTTGACTCATACTCTGGTCCTCGTGTTTATCCTAAACACAACAAAAACCAAACGTATTACTTAAGGCGACCAGAAAACATTCAGATCATTTGCTAAATGACTCGACTGTCCTACCAGTAAGGACTTGGATCCAGATCAAAAGTCTCAGAGGCCAAAGTTAGGACTCTGGCTCCACTCTTTTTGTTGAACCACACAACGGACTTTTCTTTGCTCAAGTTCATCAGTGATTGGGATCAGAGTAAATTCTTCAGACTGAATGAATGAATCAGTGAGATGACATTTGATTCTCATCACAGAATCAAATCACTCGTGTGTTTCTGGTGAACAGTGATTATTAGAGCAGTTCAGGGTTAATTTTACCAACTTTTAGGTTAATTCAACAATGGTCAAGGTCCTTGAGTGCCACTATCCATTATGTTTTAGTTACTTCCCTGCTTCCACACGTCTGGTTTTAGCCAGTAGGTGAGCTTAATGAACCTGCTGAACAAATCATTTAACAATTGAATCAGGTGTGTTGGAGCAGGAAAACAACTACAACTAAGCAGGATAGTGTTAAGTAAAACACTCAGGGACCAGGGTTTGAGACCCCTCATCAAAGGGGTTCATTATCATGTGAGCATTGTGGTATTTTTTTTATTACTGTTTGCTTTAATGACAACTCCTGGTTGAAGATGGCATGAGAGGGCCAGACAATCATGTTAGTTGTGTCCAATCAAATTCACATAAAATTATGTGCTTTATTGCCGTGGACATCAGTACCTAGCTAGCTTGTTTAACCTGTTTCTGCAGTTAAAACCACTTAAAAGTTTGCTTGAACTGCTTAAAATATGTTTGTTATTAGAGTTAGTTTTTTTTAAAGATGGTCAAAACCTTTGTTTGATTTTGAGTTTCTGTGACTAGCCGTTAGCTTGTCAGTCTGATCAGAACCAATGTCCAGACTGTGGTTGTTCAAAGAGCCATCCGTTTACAGTAAATATAATAATGTTTTCATTTTATTTTTTGCACGTTTAGACTGTTTTTTTCTTTTGTTTTTGCAGTGCTGAGGGGGAAAGATCAGAGAATAAAAAATAAGAACATTTTTGATGAAAAAAATAAAACACAGAATGTGCTTCTTGAAAGTCATTTTAAGAAAAAAATGTTTCAAACAGCTTTAAAAAAATGTTTTGTTTATGAAATGTCTACAAGCAATATGATGCAGTCAGGTATTCAGCATGTGAAAGCGGACAATGCATGTAATTGTTTAACTCCCAGCTGGGATTCAGCAGCAGGACATTGTCTCACACACACACACACACACACACACACACACACACACACACACACACACACACACACACACACACACACACTCACACACACACACACACAGACGGGAAACTGGAAAGCAGAGGCTAGATAAACCAGAGTACTCATGCTGAAAGAAAACCACAGAGAGGGGGTGTCTGTGTGTGTTGCTTCTAACTCTGCTTGTGTCTCAGCGAAAACTTGATAAACAACGAGATTACAGGGTTTTAATGTGTGAATACAACACTTTCAGTGGTCTATTTTGACACCAGTGGGGTCGGTTTGACTGTGAAAACTGTCGAAGAACATTTGAGCATCTTAACTATTGACTAAAACGTGTTTCTCTTTGCTGCAGGACCTCCTGGTAAGCGAGGAAGAAGAGGACGTGATGGAGAACCTGGTATGTAAAGTCATAGATCAGGGTAATCAATCCACATATGTCCAGGGACTATTTCAGCAAAGTGTTTTATTTTGAAAGTCATGTGAAAGTGCATCATGGATCTCTAGACTCAAAAAGGTGGAAGATGTAATTTGAAGAGTACTCTTGGCTAAAGTCTGAGCTGACAGCATTGATGTTTCTGGGTTTTTACACTCATGGTTTCAGAGACATTCTGGTGGCACCTGTTGAAGTTTTGTCAGATCTTTTTGAATGTGCTTTTATTTTTAGCCCTTGCCACAATCTTTTACACTTTTTAAGACACTAGTTGCCTGGATTTGTCCCAGAACCAGTTTCCTTCCAATCTTTTAATTATGTTTTAAAACAGATTGTAATATTCTAGACTTTCTCAGAATGAAGGAAGTTTGCATGGTAAAAGGTACTCCTGCCACATATGGGATGATGGTGCCATACGCTTTTGAGGCACCGTCACCCCATATGTGGCAGGAGTCAGAGAAACTTAGAAGAATCTTCTCCAAACACAACATCCTGGTAAACGTTAAACCCAGCAACACCCTCAGACAGAAGGCGTTGTTTGTACGGTCCAGTGTAGTGAGGACTGTCCATACGAGGGTCAGCAACACGCGGCTCTGGAGCTGCACGCTGCTCTTTCATCCATCTGATGCTGCTCTCTGTGCTTGTGAAAGTATGAATGAACATTTAATTAAAATGCATTTTATTTTGCAGCATTCGTTTTCTGACCTGTGTGCCAATTCTAAATGTCAAGATTATCATCTTTTAAAATCTTAACAGAAATGATAAAACCTGAACTAAATATTTTGTCCCTCTGCATCATAACGCAACCTGTGTGTGTGTGTGTGTGTGTGTGTGTGTGTGTGTGTGTGTGTGTGTGTGTGTGTGTGTGTGTGTGTGTGTGTGTGTGTGTGTGTGTGTGTGTGTGTGTGTGTGTTTGAACTGGTCTAAACTACCTGACCAGTGGCCAGAACGCACTCCGTCTTTCGTGTAAACCTGAGCCGGTCCAGCCCGGTCTACAGGTCACCGGCTTGTGCGTTATCAAATGTCTCTATAGGCGCTCTCCGAGCTGAAGAGGAGATGAGATTCTGGACTTTTGCCTCAGACAGGCTCATGGTTGCATCGCCACTGGTGACAGGAACAAGCGCTATTCAGCCAAAGTTTCATGATCAACGAGCGTTTTCTAAGTGACATGTCTCTGAGCGACAGGGTTTGGACAACAGTGGGAGGACTCTTCCTGCATGTGCTGACAGCGAGCTGCACTGAGTCTGAGTAATTTAGCGACCTCTGCGATGTGCGTAACGATTAAAATGTCAGCGTATTTGCATGCGTCGGCCAAGCCTTGATGTTTCTCCATCAAAATAAACATTCAAATATGGGAAATATTAGATCGGTGCGACTGCCGTTTAGCTGTTTTGTTTCCTGTGAAGATTGTTGCAAAGAGAAACATTTAAACTTGATTAACACCAGAGCCATGCACACTGCACCGTTGTCTCCATCACTGTAAAGGTGGAACAAACATGAACTGATCGGATGCTTTTCTTACATCTTCTACATTGCTTAATGTAAAGTTTCGTCCTGTACAAAGGTTAACTACAACAATCCAACGAGACAGAACCTAGATTTGTATTCTGAACTGTTTTAAAAGGAGACATGTGACGCTGTAAATAATCAGCACCTGCTCAGGCCCTGTAGGCCCACCCAAAATGCCACGGCTGCTGTGGCTCCCACTGTTTTCCTTACTCTGGGAAACGAGTAATAATGGCTCTTTGATGGGAAAAGGTTGCCGACCCCTGGTCCTGACTTTTATGTTGGGGAAAATAAACAACAACTACACAAGCACAGGGCACAAAACCGCAGAGCCACCTCTTCAGGTCAAGACTCTGCAGTCCACCTACACCTGAAGGACCAGGGATGCACTTTTGAAGATGACAAAGTACACATTCTGGACAGAGAAGATAGATGGTTTGAGAGAGGAGTAAAGGAAGCCATCTATGTCAAACTTGAAAAACCTACTTTAAATAGGAGAGGGAGGGCTTAGGTTTCACCTTTCCAGTAATGCAGCTTTGAATCTAATCCTCAAACAGTTTGAGTCTAGGTCACACCTTCCTGCATATATAATCAACACAATGACTCCCTCTCAGTAGGGACTAACGACTCATCGGGATGAAGAGGTGGGGTACCCAGAGTAGTTTCTGCTCCTTAAATAAAAAAAACACAGCTACAGCTTATAAACTTGACTCTCCCATATTCAGTTAGAATTGACATAGCTCCTCAGATGAGAAGCGAAACGTCTTCAAGAAACCAAAGAAGTCCAGTTGCATTCATCTGAACCCTTCTGAACTAGCCTTCATAGCTTTTCCCACCCTTATCTCACCTCATCTCAGCCTGTCACCTAGCACCCAAAAGAGCACTAAATGAAGGTTAAATCTAAACTTATCAGTGATTCATGAAGAACTACAGGACCCAGCTTACTAGCTTGTTTACAATGAATAGTCAGAAAATTTTTGGCAAAAACTATTTAAAGAACAAATACCTTAAAAAAGCATAACAACACAACCTATTGATGTTTTACATCTGTTTTTCTGCCAGATGTTAACATATAAACATTTAAAACCGTAAACCTCTCCATCTTCATCCGCCTTTACTACAAGAACAAAAATCTCTCATTCAGCTTACGATGACTCCTGGGATAGCCTTTACACCAGACACATCTTGTCTTCATTGAATTTGGACAGACTTGTCGCTTCGCATTGACACAGTGAGCATTAACACGTGTACTCAGACGGCTTCAACCTCTGGATTTGGACAGCAGCTGGATTACATCTGATGAAGAAAACCTTCATGAGCTGAGTCACAAACCAGAATCTCCAGGTGCCTAAGGAAAGGACACGTTCTGCAGCAACACCCCTGCAGCTGAATGATGTCGCCGCAAATTGAATTTGCAGCAAGAGCTTACGCTTGGCTGGGAGCTGCGTCCACACTCCGCTCACCTGAGAGGGAAAGTGATAACGGGCACTAGACGGTGTTGGCTTTGTGCTCCCAGGGGAGCCCAGAGAGACGATTTTGGAGCTAAAGTATTGTTTTATTAAAGAAAGCAAATAGAGGAGGGAGCAGTCTGGATTCGCCCAACCCAGACTCTGGTGCGTGTTAAAAATTATATCACTTTGATCTTTCCCAATTAATTTATGGAACCATTTCGAGGCTCATGTGCTTCCCTCTTCAACACAAAGAACTAGTCTACGTTTCTGCAGAGAGGGAAGTTGAAAGCTGGTAAATGAGATGGCAAACAAACCGTTGGGCTGCAGATCTGACACGCTGTCAGGCTCGGTTTGTGTGGGACTCGAATCTCAAATAAACATCTACCAAGCTGGCGGGACACTTTTCATTTTCCTCTGCCCTCTCTCCAACCAGAACAAAACAAACTTGACAAATCAATTGGAAACCAGAAATGATCTGACTGACCATGATGTCGGGGGCTTGGTGGTCTAATAAAGGAAGACACCAGGGAATAACCGAGCTGTCAGACTGCAGCGTTCTGTGTAATGGTCCCAATTAGGACTCTGACTTTGATGAAGGATGTTGACCAACCCACTTTGGGTCTGCTGCACGAAACATTAGTTTTGAACCATTTGGAATGTTTGAAATGAAGGGAACTCTGGAGGTTTTGCCAGGTATATCACTTCTGGGTGAGCAGAGATGTGACATGAGCTTTTTATGAATCAAACTTCCCTGTTTTGGAGCGCGAGGTTTACTGGCAGGAGGAAGATTCCACCTTAAAGGGAAAATCAGAAAAAGACACACTGGTGTTTACCTGTTCATTGGTGGGAAGAAATGAATGAAACACTTCACCTGGATCACTTGTTTGCTCATTGGGAGCTTATGGAGGAGAAGAGTGTGGTGTGAGCATTTAGGATGAATACGTTTTTTTTTAGCAGAAGGAAACGCCACAGTGCCAAAACGTGAAAGCAATTCTGGAAAGTGGCAAAAGTTTTCCTTGTGTGGGAATAACCAGGACTTGTTGTGAGGAACTGGTACTCACAAAGGGAGGAATTGATGCTCGACTGAGCAGCCTGAGTATTTCAACCTCAGGGTGATGAAATCAGGGGTCATGTTTTTACAAGAGGGACCACTATGGAGGAATAAAAACACTCATCGGAAAAGGTTTAACAAAACTAAAAAGACCTGATTGTGTCTTTTAAAGTACACATTTCATTAACTGTTAATATCTTACCTGGTGTAGAAGCTGTGGATAGCTATGGACAGACTCAGTTTAGAAAAACAGAGATACGTTTAGACCATGCAGGTGAGATAGCAGGCTACAAATCTGATTTCTGTCACCTTAAAACAATTTTGTGTCTCATGTTTCTCGTGGCAATTCATGTAAAACCACTTTTTACACCATTGAACCTTTTTATTGCCGTTCAGTTTGCATTACAAGATCACTCTGTAGAAATCGGTGACTCTGACTAGAAGTGGTACAGATCTTCTGCTTCAGAAATGCGTTTAAAGAGCTGTGTATGGAACTGTGCAGGCTTAGGTGACAGTGTCAGCAATATTTCCTTTAAAGTTCAAAATGTTTTCCAAATCTCTATTAAAGAAGAAAAAAATGGTAACGCTTCCTTTTACAGTCCCCTAATTACTCAGTACTTGCATGGCAATTACACAGTAAGTTAAAGTGTATTATTGTTTCTGAGTTCTTAAACAGTTATTATCATGTAACTCAGGTTCAATTCTAGTTTTATTTTTATTAATCATTTCCAGAAAATACTGCTTGACACAATAATTACACTTTATTACAATTATACACTTTAGTTACACAATAACGCACTTTAACTTACTATGTAATTACCATGTAAGTACTTAGTAGTTAGGGGACTGTAAAAGGAAGCGTTACAGGAAAAAAATATATTAAAGGTGTTGGGACTGTTTAAGGTGAGTATGTTTTTTTTAGCAGAAGGAAATACCTCATAGTGGGACAGCAGTAGCTCAGAAGGTAGCAGGTTGTCCAGTAATCAGAAGGTTGCAGGTTCAACCCCGGCTCTGATAGAGAATGCTGCTGTTGTGTCCTTAGGCAAGACACTTAGCCCTCCTTGCCTGCTGGTCAAAGGGACCGGTGGCGCCTGTGTCAGCATGTCTCATTTGCATGAATCCACTTTGGAACAAGCCACACTGACTCAGTGGCTCATCCATTTGGTCAAAAGTAAAGTAAGTCAGTCATTGTTTAAGTGTTGCCCACTGAGCCTCACCTCGTGGCTCCACTAATGCAGGAGCAATTTTCCCAGGTAAAAAATAAGAAGAGTGAAGTCAGAACTTGTAAAATAAATGAAAATCTCTTTAGTGAGGGTTAAAGCAGCTGGCTACTCGATAAAAACACCCCTTGTACTTGTCGGGTTCTGGGAAGCGCTGGTTGGTCAAGCACACAGTCCTTTGAGCAGCAGTAATTGGAAAAAAGTGTCACCTCACAAAAGTCTTTGAGAATTTTTAACAAGCACACAACCTGTAATGGAATAAAATGGAGCAGCTTTAAAATGTGATTGCCAGACCTGGTGGCCATCATTTCCAACTGCATGGAAACCAGATTAAACGTTTTTATTTCAGACTTATTTTATTCCTTTGTGAAACCTCAACAATAACGATGTGTTCTCAGAGAATTATTGATAACCTGATGTCTTTACGAAAACTTACTAACGTTAATTGTTTTTCTTCTCTTTTTCAGGACCTCCTGTAAGTATCCCAGCTTCCTTCTTTGATTTGGGATTCCCCCCTTAAGGTAAACTTGAACAGTAAGAGACACAAGCTCTACGACAGGGGTATTCAATTCCAGGCTTGGAGGGCCGGTGTCCAGCACGTATTAGTCATAACTCAGTTTCAACACACCTGATTGTTTTTCTATTCATGTTTAAAGCATCAATTTGCAATATCCACACCAAACCAGGCACATTGTTATAGGTAGTTTCCTGTTTCATTAACCGTTCATCGTATAGCTAAAGCTGCATGAACAAAACATTTGTGAAATGTAGTAAAACCAAGAGATTACTCCAACAGTAAGCATCCAGGCTGTAACACTGTTTCTCACAATGTCTACATTAAAGCTGCAATAACAAATCCACAAAATAAGCTAGATTTTAAACACAGACACAGTCACCGAACTCTCACTCCTCACATTGACTATCATCCTTAGGTCACGCCCACCTGATATAGGAACATGCATTGACATAGGATACAAGATACCGCAAAACACTGTTCGCTGTTGTCTAGATCCAAAAGACTTCAAATGGTGTCTATCTTTTTGGGGACTCTGGTAGTTTGTTCCAAAGTAGAAGTGGTAGCAGCCAACTGTTTCTCCTTCTCCGATGTTATTGAGAGGAGTGGTGTTCTGCTACTAAATACACGAGTGTGTGGAGGACCCAGGGAAGTGTGGAAGAAGAAGGGTTTAAAAGAAATTGTTTTTATGTAGCACAAAATAACAAATAAAAAGTACTTAAAAATAAAAATATAAAAGGGGGATAAAAGAAAAAAAATATGATTAAAAATGTGAAGCAAACGTGAAAATAATAAGGTAATGACGGGATCCAGAAAAAGACAGAATTGGCAGAAAGAGCTAGTGAGGAAGAAGAGGATGAACAGAAGGTCACACCAAAGCTTGAACAGGTGAGTTTTCAGCTGCTTTTTAAAGGAGACCACTGAGTCCACTGATCTCAGGCTCAGGGGGAGAGAGTTCCAGAGTCTGGGGGCCACAGCAGCAAATGACCTGCCACCTTTGGCCTTTAGCCTGGTGCTGCACAACCAGTAGGCTTTGGTCACTGGACCTGAGGAATGTGTGGCAGTTTTGTGAGATTGACAACCAGATGGTTCAGTTGTTGGTTTTGGACCGATTTGTGTTATTGGAGGATGTTTTTAGTCAGCTGCGAAAGAACCACTTTATTCTTTCCCCGTTTATTTCTAATCTCCACAAAATATGTATAGCTATACTTTGCTAGAATGTTAAGAGACATTTTAGCTTTGAATAAAACCTGGTCTCTACTATACTTTTCATTTTTGAATGAAAGATGCAAAAACCAGCAGAAATATCAGCTAAATATTTCTGATAGTCTGGAGAAGGCTACAAATGGGGCATCACACTGTCATTTTCCACCAAGAGCTAGAAAATGTATCAAAGCAAACACAGAAGAATAAAATCATGTTTGACAATTATTTTAAAGACCAATCATGACGACCTACTTCCTGACTGAAATCTCAGGGATCATAAAACATCATCAAACTAATCTCTGCATGGCGGCTTTTCTCTAACACAAACCTTGTACCTGATCTGCTCACCCTGTTTTGTAAAAGCCCTGCTCCCATCATCCGTGCCCGCCCGCTCCCAGAACCTGCACAGATTATCTCACCTCATTTCGCTGCCTGGCGCTCACAGATTCACTGCTCTGAACAGATGGAAAACTTCAGAGTCTCCCCAAAGATGAAGAGAAACACATAATACACACATAAACAGCAGGGTTGTGACAGTTTGCTTTATAGCCGAGTCAAAGCGGGCACTGCGTGTCTGCATGCATATGTGTATATGACTGTTTTTTTACAGCCCAGAGGCAAGTGTGGTTGGATAGGTATAATAGCCTGTGCCGGCTGAGCTGTAAAAGTTGTAAGTTAATCCTCCGAGCCTTCTCAGACACTCGCTCATGTGGTTCTGGGTTATAAGTAAGTGCAGGTGGTCCCCCTTTTCTGTTTCTCTGGCCAGGACTTTCAGCAGAGAAATAAAACCAGTCAGTGAAACATCTCCAAACTGGTCCAAAGTCCAGGAAGCGTCTCTGAAATGTAGGATTCTTGAGTTGGAAGTAGCTGAGACCAGTTTGTAGACTGCCTTCCTCAGGTGAAACTGTAAATAAAGCCCACTGGCTTCGCAGTTGTGACTAATAGGCCACTTTCCATAGTCATTAGATGTATTTAAAGGGCAATAAATAAATAGCGGCTGACTGAATGGATTATTTAAAAACAGATTTTAATGAATTCTCAAATCTGGCAGCAACTCCGCCAGAGCTCACCGAATATGAGACCCTTGGTAAGCGATCTCATGCTGCCTATAGTTTGGTATACCCACCGGAAGGATGGCAGAGGACGCATTGCTATAAATATGCAAAAGTTCACACCTTGATTCAGCAATGCCATGTAAACTGTAGACAGAGTCAGCCCAACCAGCCACTGAAGAAGACGTCATTACAGTGTTGTGTGACCTCATTGTTACATCTAGCCACAGATGTATGGAGAGGGATGACGCTCCTCAGTACAAACTCAGCAGTAGAGATGTTCTCTGGCAGCTGGTTATTTCCATTACGATGCGGACATGCTTTGTTTTTTTGTTAGGATTTGTTTCCTTCACTAGAGTTTTATGTCAGTTTTGGCAGCGAGGGTAATTTGTGAATTGATATAGGGTTAGAGCTAGGAAGCTTCATTCTTTCATCGCCACACATTGAAAAACAAATTAATGAAGATATGTTACTGGTCCATGCTTGTTTTATTAATTGGACCTTCTTCATAGAAGCCAGTGTCATTGTCAAGGAACACCTGGTAAAAGTCAGTAAAAGAACCTTATGAAAGAACACTTGGGAATGTCCAGTCAAGCAAGCTGCTACAGCAATGGAAGATTTATCCAAGCAACGGCTTGGCAACCCCAATTCTTGTTCTTGTTTCGCCCCCACTCCCATGCCCACTCTTCAGTTTGCGCCTCCAGACATCGGAGAGCCCGTAACGAGTGCTTCTCAGAAGTAATTTCTTGCACCCCTAAGGATCCACAGCGTCCTTTTGATTTACTCTAATATCAGGTGAAGCAGGCCAGAGGTTTACGGTTAATTAGAAATAAACAGTCGGCTCTAAAAATATCTAAAGCTGCTTTTTCAATTTCAAAAACCCCAATATTTCAGTGAAATGTATGTGTGAAATGAATGAGTCAGCCGTGGCGTTTTACTTTCCTTAATGAGTCGTTATGAGCCAACAGCAAGACAGCATCTTGTTTCCCCCAGCAAGAGCAGCCTTCTGGCGCTCATCTGCTGTACAGTCACAGGTGGGAGGGAGATCTTGGGAGAAGCAAAGAGTACATTGACTCCTACAGTTGATGACCTCGCCAGGCTGGGGGGGGGTAGGTCGGGTTTTCGCAGCATCTGTCTGCATTCCTTCGTGGGGGTTTTAGTTTCTTGCAGCTCAAGGCTACCAGGACGTCAGATTCAGATAACAAGAATTTGTTTGGGTCAGGCTGAGATAATTTTCCTCTCTGCCTTCAGTCTTTAAACTGATCATTCCAGTCCTTCAGTGAAGCCAATTTTGGGTTTTTAAACCTGTCCATACCGTCCGGTGACTTTCTCCGAGATGACATCCATTTTGCGCACTAATACGTTATCGCAGCTAGAACATTGTCCAGCTTACGATTCACCTCGAGTAACGTCCCAGTCTGAGAAGTCTCCACACGGACGGTGCTTTCCTTGGGTGCGGGTCGCCCTCCAATCGCTCCCGTCTTCCCAAATTTCCAGAAAACCAGATATCCTCCCACTCCAATCAGGAGAAATTCAGTGATCATCAGGCCGAATATCCACACGTCTTTGATGTCCTCAATGGTTGAGGCATATGATCTTCCACTCCTTACGGGAATCCAAAATATACCCCACCGGGTGTGTCCCCTGTGGACATGTGGGAGCCCCCTGCTCCGTTCTCATTGTTGAAAAAATCTTATTGATCGTATTGAACGACCAGTTTATCAAATCCATGGTTAGTAAAAATAGGGTTTTTCAGAAGAAATGCAGAGAAGCACTCTGTGGGAGACAGGATAAAGAGCCTTGGGGAAAAAAAGATAACAGCGTGAAAGAGGGAAGCGTCTGTACTCCACGAGTGCCTTGAAGACAAATTAGCTTCAAAAAATGTTGTCCGATGATTACATACTGGTGATCTTTGACAAGGGTATTTTGGGCAGGTGGATTGTCAAACAAACAAACAAACAAAATCAAACAAACAAAAACAGTACCTCTAAGAGCCCTGAAAAGCCTGGGATCAGCAGCAGAGTGCAAAATGTCTTTGTGGGGTGATAAAGGACGAGGCTAAACCAGTGTGTGTGTGTGTGTGTGTGCGTGCGTGCATGCATGCATACGTGTGTGTGTGTGTGTGTTGGGGGGGTGGAGGGGGTGTGTGTGTGTGTGTGTGTGTGTGTGTGTGTGTGTGTGTGTGTGTGTGTGTGTGTGTGTGTGTGTAATAAGTAAGTTTTCTGAAATGTACTCTAAAACTTCTAAAAAGCCAACGTAACGATGCCAAAACTGGAGAAACACGATCTTTCCCTGGCAAAACCTGTTAGGATTCTGGCCTCAACATTCTGTAAGATTTTTAAAGAACACTTTAGACACCCAGCTAAAATAACAGTCAACTTTACAAGTGATAAATATGGAGAGCTGTTTTTGGCATCACTTTGGTACTTTTGCTCATATATTCAGTTACATTATAGAGATGGTATCCTATAGTATGTGAAATGGTGGCACAATTATCTACTTCTCTCCTTCGTTTCTCATCTTTCTGGGACTTTAAGGGTGATTGATGTCAAAACCCCCACCGCTGTGCGTGCACACAATTTAGCACCAGTCAAGCCCAAAACATCATTCCAAAGGCTGCACTCGAACACCGCTGTACCTTCTTTTCCTTTTTTTGAGAAAGCACAGCCAGTAATGTCAGACAACATCAAAATTATACAGGCA